TTCTTATACTGCACGGTGTGTGTGTTTGTGTCAAGCGAGCAATCCAGTTGAAGAAAATGCAACACAAACCTTAGTATATATTCAATATTTGTTTTTAATGGCGTTTCATGTTAATTTTGTGATTTTAAGCAAATTATACGCAAAAATAACATATTAATATATCATAATTTGCCTTTTCATTAAAGGTGTGCTACAGAACAGCTCTTCTATCGTGGAAGTAAATGCCAGAACATGCCTGATAGAGTGTTTGATTTTTATTAGATCTAACTCTCAACACTCGGTTTTTATAATACATTGTTTTTTTTTAATAGTTTTCAAATAATTTCGAATTTAATTTTTCTTATTGACTACATGATGGTACTAATTACTTATTTACTACATACATATGTCATACATACATACATCACATACTTTTACACAATTTAAGTACTACTTTAGCATTTACCCGTGATTGTTTTTTTTAATATAACGAATAAATGCTTCGCAACAAGGCATCACACGGAATATACAAAAATTAAAAAATAACGAAAATTGTTTGGAAAATGCTGCATTCTTCCCATGTTCATTACACTATGTATTGAAGAAAGTATTTTTCAGTTTCTGCCAAAATAGTGACGAACTATTGTCAGACTTTAATTTGGCATTTCGTTTTTCCTGCGCTTCCGTCTTGAACATTAGCCATTGTTTGCGTATATCCGGATTACTGGGACCCCATTCATCACTAGGTGAACATGCTTTTTGTATGGTCTGAAATGTGAATTACAAATATGATGAAATTTTTAAATTAGATATAAAAATGTTAGTTCAGATTATTTAATGATATTTAATCAACTGTGTCGATACAATCTTTTTACTGGATGTTGTTCATTTACATTTTCCAATTTTCTCTCTTGAGACAGAAAAATTCGTATTTACTCTCTGCAAATTCCAACCGAGTAAATGTTACTGGGAAAGTAAACATACGAAATATTATCCCGAGGGAGTTGTCAGTCTTCTACCGGGCGCGTCCCCAGGTGGCGGATAGGGGTAGGCAGGTGTTCATACTACTCTTTTGTAACTTAAGGGAAAGACTTCTTTCACTTGACCTCTTTGCAACAGCATAGTGTGTCCACCTGCTGCAGGGAATTTAGTATTCCCCGCGGACCAAAACTGACTACGGGGATGTTCCCCTAAAACAAAAAACACACTGAAATGCCTAAAGTCAAAAATATAAATAAAGTTACGGTGCAGGGCTTAAATAACCCAGTACCGGCGGGTGACGTCGATCTGCTTACGAGTCGCGACCCGTCGTCATCCAGAGATCGTGAGCAACAATCTGCTACGAATGTGGGTGTCTTGGCATTTGTAGCTGAACGTAATGCGACAAGCACAACGAATGATAAAGACCACTTTTCAAAATCCAGAGGCGGAACAGAACATCGAATAAATGAAAAATTGCAGCGCAGAGGCAACAATGCTAGTCAGCCAGATGAACCAACGGAAAGAGAGCATTTAGCATCAACATATTCGGAACATGTTATGAATCTGGAATCATCTAAAAAGCAGAACTCGACAAAAAATGAACAAAAGAGTCCATCGCCCTGTAGTACTTCAGAGACTGGTGAGTGCGCAAACGCAGAGAACAATGGAAATAGTACGGATAACATAGCTAAGACCCGATCCAGAAATAAACAGTTGTCTGGAGCACAACGACGGAAATTGGCCAGAATGAGACGGAAAGGACTAAATGTTATCCAGACAGATGCCACAAAGGAGAGTCCGCCTTTGCCCACTTCCTCGGAATTAACAACCAATATAAGTTTCACTGAAAATGAGGACACTGGCTTTACAACGCAAATGAGCTTACCGATTGATAGCACATTGGACAGATGTGATCAACCGTCCCATTTTGAGAAAAAATGTTACGACTACAACAATACCGACTCAAGTGTCATGAGGCGGTCTCCTGATGAGAAAAACATTAGCTATCCATCATATAGTAGATTGAGTAGGCCGTACCAAGCCCCTCGATATGAAGACAATTATTTTGACAATTCTGGACGAAGTTGCATGACACGGTCCACTGGAGTACAAAACAATGTACAAAGGAACTTCCCATCATTCCTTCACTTTGATGATAGTCGGGACAATAAATCTGGCACAAATTCCATGACATGGTCCACAAGAGAACAAAACAATGCACAAAGGAACTTACCTTCATATGGTACCATGAGTAGATCACTTCAAACCTTTGACAAATCTGGCCCAAATTCCATGACATGGTCCACTGGCGAACAAACAAATGCGCAAAGAAACTTCACATCATATAGTACCATGAATAGATCACACCAAACCCTTCCCTATGGTGATAGTTGTTATGACAAATCTGGACGCAGTTCCATGACATGCTCGCCTGGTCCAAGTACCATGACGATGTTTAATGAGGAGGAAAACACGGCACAAAGAAGTTTCCCGTCATATAGTGGATTGAACAGATCGTATCAAGACCCACATGCACATGAAGACTATGATTACAAGACCGGCCCGAGTTCCTTAGAGCCTGGACATCTGGAAAAGAACACCCGCCGGAGGAAGCGGTCTGCTGAATTGTGTAAGACCTTGCCATCTTATGCAAAGGCTGCCAGGAAACGCCAAAAGCAAGAGCTTTGCTATGCTGTTATTGATATGAATTGTACTTCGGGTAAAATTCCCGCAGAGCATCAGAAAACCACCGAAGATTTGGTTAATAATAAAATCTTAGATCACCTCCTGCAAGGAGGGGATCCCATAGAAATTCTTAACTGTAAGTTCAGAGCGGACCGGCTGATAATTAATTTTGCATCATCGTCAAAAATAGAGGTCCTCAAAAACCTTATAGACACTATAACGCCGCCTTGGGAGGGTGCCAATTTAAAGTTGGTGCGAAAAACTGATATTCATGGACTAACAAAAGCTACGGTGTTTTTGAGAGGCTGGGGGAATACATTCCCAAATGAACGGATTCTCGAGATATTTGCACTTCAAAACAAAACACTTTGTGCAAAGAAATGGCTGGTCTTTCACAGGGAGGAGCGTAAGAATGGGACGCTCCTTGTGTTAGGCATAGATAAAATATCTATAACAAGTCTGGCCAAGACCAAGGGCATGGCATTCTACGTTTCAAATGCAGTTTACTTTAAGATCGGAAAGACTAGAATCTGCGAAGACCAAGAAGAAAGTGTCGAGGTAGCTAATACACAAGACAATAGCAACGATGAATGTGAAGATAATATTGCGAACTCCCCGGATTATTGGAGAACGCTGAAATAAAATAGGAACAAGGTTTCTGTTTTAACCCAAATTATTTTTACAGATACATTGACTCAAAAACATGATTCAACAACCCAATCTAGTTCACACCAAAATGCACGAAATTGTCCTCCGTTGTAATATTTTTAGAAAATTATTTCAAGATGATGCATATGTTTGTATACATTAATATTTCGCTATAATATACTTACATTCCACAATGAGCCACTGCAATTTGAGGATGCTGTCCATATGAACCACAAAGGGAATTGTACAAAACCTATGGCCAATAGAACCCAACCAGCAACTATGGAAAAAAGATGTAAGAAAAATTTGATTATTAAATATATATATATATGTAAATGTGTTTGCTCGCATTAAATGTTACATTGATTTGATTCCACTAAATATTAAACTAATTTATAAATTTCAGAACAAATGGATTGCTTGTATCCACACTATGGAAATGAAATACAGACATAGCTAAAATGGTTCAGAAACCCTGAAGGCCAGCAGTAAACAAATATATTTTTTAGGCGATTTGTGGACGCAGAAAACGATTACCGGTAATAAAACGAAAGTCTCAATACCGTATTCTTGCAATTTTAAAACACCTAACTATCTAGTGATTTTTTTCCATTTTCATTATTATATTCACACAATGAATTAAACTAATAAAAAAATCGAATAGAATACTTGAAAATAGAATAGAAGTAGCATTGGATTATTAATGGGTTGGATGAAGAATTCTTGACTTCGTATGTATAAAGATAATATTGTTTATATCCTACAATAATGAAATCAAGAAGGCTAAACGTGAGTCTTGGGTAGTATGAGTAGTATTAAGCGAAGCGACGCACAGTGTCACGACCGCGGCCAAAAATGGTTATAAACCAAGTACCACGGAGGACAAATTTTTTGATGAGGATTGATAGAAAACACTCCAATTAGAATAAATATGAAATTTTATATCGATATGTCGAGTAGTTTTGTCTCTACAAAGGTTCAAATCTGATAATTATTTATAAACTGTTTTTACCATATTTTCGAAAAATTGGTGTGTTTTTCTGATGCTCAAATTTTTGAATATTCAAATGAACGGTTATTATAAAAGTGTTTATTTTGGTTGCTGTGGATGTAAAAACTAGGATTCTCTTTAGTTTGTATGTATATAGATATCATAAGGTGCATACTGTCGTCCACACTTGTAGTACTTAGTTCATCAAATTTTTAAAACAAATTTTGAAATTAGTGGAGCAAAAAAAAAGTTTAGCTTTTTTTTTATTTGAGTGGTCAAAAGTGTGCTATTTAAGGAATAAAAAAATTAGCTGCGAAGTCCTGCGGTCCTTAGAGTTATTTAACTGTTTTGGTGACCGCCTTATGAAAAAATATGGCATATTCATGAAATGGTTACAAGCGAATGGTCAAATATGTTATGTATACAATTAAATAAGTTATTGAGGGTCAAATAGGAAGGAGAAGATGGATTCAGAACATACTAATAATACAACATTTTACATAAAATATGCAATTAAGTGGTAAAAACGTTATTCCAAGCGGAGATATAGGAGAATTGGTTTTAATATATAGCTTTTAAATAAATTTTTAGTCAGTTTGAAGATTATACTTATTTGTCAGATCATTTGACATAATCTTATAATCTGAATTTAGAGGTCGCACATGAATTATCTTTGTGGAAAGTTCATATAGAAAAATTTTAGTTCATGGCATGTGATATGCAATGTGCAGTACAATACCTTTTGAGTGACTTTCACAAGATGCTAACAAGTCATGCCAACAAATAATTAGTAGCAGCCCGAACTTTTGTTAAAGCCGAGTTAAATAAGGATTTTAATTAGAATTTTATATTACAATCCGACCATGTAATATCCTTAAACAGTCATAAAGTAAAGGCCCTAGATTATAACGTGGATGATACTAAATCGTACATTTGGGAAGACAATATTATATATATATCTGATGTGTGTGTTTGAAAATTTTGTGAATGATAAAAAAGTAATTTATTTGTTACTAAAGGTATCAAATATTTATTATATTATTATATATATAAATATATAAATAAAAATGAATTGCTGTTCGTTAGTCTCGCTAAAACTCGAGAACGGCTGAACGGATTTTTGTTATTTTAGTCTTGAAATGTTCGTGGAGCTTCAGGGAAGGTTTAAAAGGTGAGAAAATATCGAATAAATGCCGGGAAATGTCTAAAAGCTGACTTTTATATTTCCCATACAAATGTTTTCTAAACAAAATGTAGATTCGTGCATTCAATTTGCTTTTGTTGTCAGAATTTTTTTTTTAAGTTTTATAAATTTTAAATTTTGTCACAATTTAAGTTTCTGAAAGGATTAAATTTCGATTACCGACACATGCGCGTGAACTTTCTTTACTTTTGTGATCCTTTCAGATAGTGACCCTGTGATAGTTACACTATTGTTCGGCATATTAAAGTCATTAATTAATAACGTTAAGATGCCGAGAAGAAGACGACCTGACTTAGGTCATCCATAGAATGCAAGTGCATTTTGGGATTAATGTAAGGATGGAAAATCAGAAGAGATTCTGAATCGAGTTCATGTCCATTCAGGGTATTCTGATTCTAAGATCCATGTCCTTGATTAATTTGTTTGAAAATAATAATAATGTTGTTCTTTAAAGTTCCTGAAATTTTGCTATGCCACGGGAAATATCAAATCAGGCGGTTATGTGCCTAATCGTTGTTCAATATCTTTGAACTTATAAACACTTCGCATATATCCGACACCAAAAATGTTTATCACAGTGCAATATACGAGATATCTTCTTTAGAAAAATCTATCATTAAGCTCAGCTGAAAAGAGAACAACAAACAAAAAACCAGAAATTTTATAAAAATTAGCGATGACGTAGCGACTTGAAGGTTATACGAAAACCTCCGTCCGATGTTATCCATTCGTATTGAACATGCTAACTACCGATAACACTCAAGTTGGAAAACGGGGGTAAGAAATTCAACATACCGAAAATTTAACTAAAAATAAATATGGCGTTGCTTAACGTTAAGCTGTAGTGCAAAATTCCTGGAATGGAGTTTTTTATTCACAGGAATTCGTTATGCCTAATTATAGCCAACTCTATTAGGAAATTCGGTCAATGTATTTATAATACTTTATAATAAATGGGGTATTATGCTATATAGATGCTATATCAAAAGTCGGACCTAAGTAGATACTTTGTCGCAAAAATGTGTCTCCCCCCAATATCACGGAATGAAGTATTTTAACTACAACAATGGGAATGGAGACATATTAATTTTTGGTAGGAAGATTTTACACAACATGAGAAATTATGGGGGATACCATTATATGGGTGCAACCCACAAACTTTGACCAATATTGATAATTCTTTGTAAGGAGATGTTGGACTCACCAAATAAAACAACTAATTAAGGTTGAAAAACGTGCCCAAATCCCCAAAGCATTCTATAATGTGGAGTTCCATTAAATGGATTTCGGAAGCTTGGGTAAATTTTGTTATGAAAATTTTCTACTCAATGATCATCCAAATTGTAAAATTACAGCCAAATACCGACTATTATAGGGTTACCTGGATACTTGGGCCAATATTGATAATTTTATGTAGTGAGATTTTCTGTTCAATAGGTATACCTTATATTAAACTAAAAGCAATTCTGTCGAAACCCGTGCTTAAGATCTTCAAAATATCGAATGTTTAGGGCTACCATTATATGGGCGGTACACCGAAACATGGGCCAATATTGATAATATTTGGTACGGACACTTTCTGTGCAATTTCAATGTATGTTCAAATTTCAGAGCACTATCTTAAAGATAATTTAATATTGGGCTATCGTTATGTGAATTATACATCAACAATATTGATATGCAAGACAACGTTTGCCGGCCCGCAATGTTGAATGTTGAAATGTTCGTGGAGCTCCAGGGAATGTTTAAAAGGTGTGAAAAAGTCAAAAACCACGAAAAATTTGCAAAAAGTATTTTGCAACATATTGGCATTTTCACGAATTTAGTATCGAGCTATTTGAATTGCACCACGTCGTAGTTGTATTTTGAGATATTTTTGGCGAAAATCGGTAGCGTATCATTCCTTTAAGCATACATTTGTCAATTATTGAAAATTTTCTAAATATTTATTTTTTTTCAATTGGTTTGACATTGTATTAAAACATTTTTAGGAGAATAAAACAAATAATTGAGAAGTATATCATATCACACTCAGGTTGGAAAACGGGAATAAGAACTTCAACATACCGAAAATTGAACGGGAAATAATTATGACGTATTTCTTAAACGTTAATCTATAGTACATAATTTCTGGGATGCTGTTTTTTATTCACAGGAATCCGGTCAATGTCTTTATAGAACCGAAACCTGTATTTATATGCTATATCAAAACTTGGTCCTAAATAGATAATTTTTCACCCCCAATATCCCGAAATGACATTTTTTATTATTTTTAGACATACAATGGGAATGGGGATTAATTAATTGTTGGTAATATGATTTGACACCACATGAGAAATTGAGGGGGATACCATTGTATGGTGCTACACGGAAACTTGGATCAATATTGATAATTTAAGTAAGTAGATTTTCTACTCACTGATCATCTAAAATATAAAATTACAGCCAATTTTGTTCTAACACGTGACTAAACCCCCCAAAATACAGAAGAGTGGACTGATATTGACAATTTTTAGTAGGATTCATGCTACCAAATAAAACAACCAATTACAGCTGATTAGGTTGAAAAACGTGTCCAAATCCCCAAAGGATCGTATAATGTGGAGTGCCATTATATGGAGGCATTTCGGAAGCTTTGTTAGGAACATTTTCTACTCGATGGTCATCCAAAATATAAAATTACAGCCAAATACTGATATAATATTGATAATTTTAAGTAGAGAGATTTTCTGCTCAAGAACTATCCCTTATATTAAATTAAAAGCAATGCTGTTGAAATACTGAATATTTAGGGCTACCATTATATAGGCGGTACCCCGAAACATACTCCAATATTGATAATATTTGGTACGGACACTTTCTGCTCAATTACTACCAATTTTGTTGATAAAATCGTTACAATTTCTCATATTGAAGGGGATACCCTAAATAGTGAACTAATATTGAACATTTTCAATATCAAATATCGTAGGAGTAGTAGCAATGTATGTGCTAATTTCATAGCACTATCTTAAATCGTGGAGTGGAGTTTAATATTGGGCTATCTTGAATTATATTTGTGAATTATACATCAACAATAATGCTATGCAAGACAACGTTTGCCGGGCCCGCTAGTATTATAATAAAAATAACAAAAATAAAACTACTATGCTTAATTTAGCTGCATATAACGATTTTATAGTAGGTACCTGAAATTTGGGCCAACAACTAAATTACAACACCTATTACTGAAATGTTCATGTCTTCGTCTTTGGGCGAAGACAATTTGCAATTTGAATGAATATAAACAATTTATATGTCCAAAAAGCGGATTTTTCAAGACCCTATGTATGGGAGGTATACCAAATCTTGGTCCGATCTATCTATTTTTTTGTCAGTTGCTCTTTAGGCCAATAATAAGCACATGTACCAAATTTCATTAACTTATGATAACTTCTTCTATTTTTGGCCGCTGTTTATATGAACTTGCGACATAGTGCGACGGGATGTGGAGATACACTTGATCGATCATCAACCCACTTATATGTGGCGTGCAACCAGGGATGGTCCGTGTGACGAATTTTTAGGTTTTCGACTGTCAAAAAGGTGTAAACGTCGAAAACGTCATATACCTGTATAAAATGTAATAAAAGTAGTAGAAATTGTATTTATTTGAATATCATTACCATATATAGGTATTTTGTAGAATATATATCATTTTTATATATATCTGACTATTCCTTACTGGAACTGATCAACAATTCCAAACTTTTTGGAGATGAAAATTTTGAAATTTGATATAGATTTGAGTAAAGCATACGTAATTTGATAATTTATTAAAGGAAACAGCTATTTTGTCAAAAAGCTAATGGTTTTGAGTAGGTTTCCGACGTTTCTGACGTATGTATTATACGTCGGATATGTAGGTCATTTACGTCACTGTTTCTGACGGACCATCTCTGCGTGCAACACGTCGATGAACGAGTATTGATCACTCTGCAGGACATTTTTAGTGCTTGTCTGCTTTTATCGTACATAGCAATGGTTGGACGTATCGAGATAAATATGGAGACCTCCGGTTACACATTGGTTGCATTCCTTCAATTCGAAGGAGCCTTCAACAATGTGAAGCTGGAGGCTATCCATTGTGATCTTCCTCCTAACGGATTGGGTTAGTAGAATGCTGGAAAGCAGAATTATCAATTCGTCCAGGCTGCTAGATGTGTTCTGAGGCTCCGGGAAACGGATGCCTGGAAGTCGCTGCATTTTGGTTACGCTAGTATACCTAACACGACGCCAGTTTGTGACTTTTTGGAGAGAATTACAAAAATCAGTGATTATACTCCTTCCCATAACGGCTTTAACGACATCAGAGAGTATCGATAGTCAGGCGGCTCTTAAGCCAAGTCGTGCATTATTAACTCAAAAGCGGTTCGTGATTGCATGACGACGGATTGTTAAATTATATTGGGTTTCAGGATATAGCAACATAGAAGGAAGTGAGATAGCCGAGAGGGTTCACAGTCGTCCACTCTCCCATTGGCTACTTTATTGGGAAAATCCGTTTGAGATACTGCGAGGTAGTCGGCAACAGATAGTCAACTGAACCTGGATGCAGGATTTCAAAAACCATCTGGCCAGAACGGAGATCGGTCAAAATTTATAGGGCCACATGAACCAAGATTTTTGTGTGAACAAAATAATAATAATAATACAAAGGCGTATATATTTACTCCTGAAAGACATGGGGAGTAAATGAAAGAATAAATAAATTAAATAATTTAAAATTTCATTTCATTTGGATAATAAATGCATCCTGTACTTTAGAATAATCTATGGGTAGATGGATTTTCATAAATCGACTTCGAAAGTGATTCTATAAGTAGGCACAAAGATATAATACCCTATAAGGCAGTAAGGTGTTGGACATAAATAAAGTGTTCGTGAAAAACATATCACATATCACTTACTATTTGCCGATTCTGGGTAGTCCATGCCAGCATATTTTAATGTTTTCAATTCGGCCATGGAATAAACGAAAATAAATAATAGTAAAAGTGGTGTAATAACTGCCCAGCAGATACGCCAATAGAATGAGACACGCATTCGACTCATAAACTCAACGTCATCGCAGAAATTTTGTAAACCTAAAAGGCAAACTTTTAATTAAAAATTATCTATTTTAAGTGTTTGGAAACTGGTATTTTCCACTTACCATAGATCCATGCCACGCCAATGATCTGAAATAGAGCTAAACCAAAAATAACAAATGTGGCACCATAATAATCGACTAAATTTAGGATCCATTGACCGGCCTATTTTTGGATACATGAAATTATATAGAAATTAAATTAATTCAAGAACGTAGTTCTACATGGCATTATTTTGCGATAGTTGCGCTACTATTAGAAAGCAATATTGGAAAAGGTGTGGGAATCGAATTAAATATGTCTATGAATATGAAAATTTTCTCTCTTGATTTAATCAAAATCCAATGGTTCGTATAAGTATTAATATTACTTATACTACCCATGGATCGTTGTTTTAGAAATATGATAAGCGGTAAATGTTGCCCTTAAGTACTGGCGTTTTTTTGAACAAATGAAATGTATAGAAATCAAATTAATTTAATATCATAAATTAATTTTATGATCAGAATGATTATGGCCAATGGTTCGTATACGTATTGACATTACTTATACTCCCCATAGATCATTGCCATATATGAATATGCATTAAATATTGCTCATAAGTACCGGTGTAACGTAAATAATGCCACATAGAAAACCACCAATTGATGTTGCCAATGCCACCATCCACGCCTTCATCCATTTAAAATTATCACATAATATTGCTACCAGTGTATTGGCCTGGGCGACCAATGTTCCAATGCCCAAAACGAACAACATAATAAAAAATAATACAGCAAATAACTGATAATAAAACAACGAAACATTAGTCAAGATATTTTCACCGAACAGGTTGTTACGGTAATATCAAACCTGTGGTACACCATTAAATTTTGCAATAGCATCTGGATAGGATATAAATGCCAAACCCGTACCACTACGCACCACCTCATCGATGTTACTTATATTTAGATTATGTGCCAAATTACCCAAGATGCCGAATATGGTGATACCCGCAATTAAACTGGTTACAGTATCCAAACTGGTAACAATTATAGCATCTCTGGAATCGTCGAAGTTGTAAATTATTCGGAATAATATTCTTTAATAGGTTTACATACCTATGTGAATTGTGATTAAATTTATTATATGATGAAAACATAACAATTGGACCCAGTCCCACAGCCAGAGAAAAGAAACATTGGACCACAGCTTCTTTCCAAACCTAAAAATATAATTAAAAAAAATCTTCAATAGGAAGCAATAAGATTTCTTCTAAGTATAGCACAGGCAAATTCTATAGAACTGCTTCTTCAATAGGACCGAAGAGGGCTTCTTCTTCTGTAGGTCAGAGGATGGATTCTTCTGAAGGACAGAAAAAAACTTTTTCACAAGAAAAAAATGTTTTCTTTTGGACAGAAGAAGTCTTCTTCTATAGGACGGAAGGAGCTCTCTTCTTCTATAGGACAGAGAAAGTTTTCTTCTTCTATAGGACAGGCTTCTTCTTCTTCTATAGGACAGAAAAAGGTTTCTTCTTCTATAGGACAGAAGAATGCTTCTTCTTCTATAGGACAAAAGAAGACTTCTTCTTCTATAGGACAGAAGGCTTTTTCTTCTTCTAAATTCCTTACCTTCAAATTCAGCAATTCACTCCAATTGGGTTTCAAGAAAAATATAATACCATCCAATGCCCCGTCCAAAGTAACAGCTCTTATTAGCAGTGTTATCAAAATGACATATGGAAATATGGCCAAGAAATATGCTGCCTTACCGGCCGTTTTTACACCACGAACTATTACCAAAAATGTTGTTAGCCATGCCACAAATAAGGCCAATGTCAGTCTCCAACTTGGCAGGCCAATACCCTCGGATATATCATCATATTCACGAATTACCTGTTTGCTATAAATCAACGGATAAAATAAAATAAACAGGAATTTGAAAATCTCCTTCTAACATCGAACTTACATAAAATACATTTCCGAACTACTTGTCGGTTTGTCATTGAATGTTGTGAAATTTTCCCCATTAGTTGCTTTCGAATTGGAGTCAACACAATTAGAACCCCACTCCTCACGACAGTAGGACCACGGCAAAGGATTATAGAATGAGGCCACAAAATAATAGAGTGTCAAGGCCAACAGCGAGGAATAATAGGTAAGTACTGTAACACCGGCATAAGCCTGACCAATGCCAACACCTGGAATTCGATAATGTATAATTATTTTTGAGGAAAATTATTGATTGATTTCTAAAGCTTACCTACAAATGAGGGACATATGGACCATATTTTAACGGAACTTTTGCTGGTAAATTGTCCTAAAAGAACTTCTAGATAGTACATTGGTTTTCCTGAAAAATAAAACGAATGAAATATATTTCTATGGACCAAATCGTATAGAATTATGAATACATATTAATAAAAAAACTATTGGACCCCCACAAGGAATAGTAAATTGCAGCCACTATTGAACGTAAATTTTGCGTAAAATTTCAAAAAAAAAATTGAATGGTGTGTTTTTACACCTAGAAACCTAGAACCCAAAATATCCAATAAAGTTGGAAAATGTCTTGAAAATGCCGAATATTGGGCATGTATATGGGTTTTCCTGCTAAGATTCTGGCCCCTTTTCTAAATATTTCACTGACATTTCATAAAATTTATTTAATAATTTTTTTTATTTTACAAAAATGAACTTGATCAAGGTTTTAAAAATATAGATGACAATGATGACAGATTATAGAGATAGATGACAGATAGAGGACATAATTCTTTTTATAGATGACAGCTAGTTAAAATAGTAAAACTGAACCGATTTCAACAAATATTGTCACGGATTATTTTATAAAAAAAATTCGGTACGCTGTACTATGGGCCAGAGATCCCTTTTTTGCCCAAGTTTAGAGCAAAAGGTTTATGAAATACCATATATAAAGGTTTCGAGGATTACGTTTCTGCAAGAAAAAAGTAAAACTGTAATAGGGTGAACCGAAAACACGGCGGTCAAATCAAATTATTTTTGAAAAAGGGTTTGAAGAGCTATGGCCACTCGGTACTTCTCAGCTACTTCTATTTTAATCTTTTATTAAATTATTATACTATAATGGAAAAAATTGGATTCCTGGCCCATAGTGTGCTGTGCAAAATTTCGGACAAACAAATTTACTTACAAATAAAAAATCTATTCATATTGGCAACAATCCCTACCGTAAACCTAAAATTGGCAAAATTCAGCCTTTGTGTTAAAAGTATAGATACTAATGGGCCGGAATTTGCTTTAATAACTAGACTTCAAAACATAGTTATAACAATTAACAAAAAATTGAAATACAAAAGTCAAAAGTTAAAAAATTCACTTAAGGGGACCCCCCATTCCCGGGGTAAAAATTGTTGTTGATATAATTCGAACATACACTGATTAAAGAATGTCCCTACAAAATTTCAAGTGAAAATCTCAAGAACTCTTGAAGATATATCCGATTTATTGTGTCAGCATCAAGTGACGGCTAAAGGGCTTCTCAAACTTTTTCTCTAAAATTTTTTTTGCGAATGGCGGGCACGATAACTCAAAAACTAATAATCCAATCGGTTCCAAATTTTGCAACGTTTCTCTGGGAATGTATAGCTCTCGTATGAACTAGGATAAAGCCAATCGGTGAAGATCTTCCTTATTTTTTAACTTGGGTTTTGGTAAAAAATCGGCGATTTTTCAAAAATATTTTTTCAAAGGTCCACCATTTTGTTAATTTTAGAGCGAAGTCAATAATCCTAGTTCATACGAGAGCCAGACATGTACTCTTTCTAACACCGTTGGAATTTTCGGATTCCGAAAATTATTATTCCGTAAATTATTTTTCTTCTCTTTTGAATCTTCAAATATATATGTGCAAAGTTACAAACCTTAACAAGCATTGGTATTGATTTACCAGCCCATTGAAAATCTTGAAAAATTAAAATCGAGAATGGGTGGGGTTCCCTTAAAGGACACCTTTGACTTCGAAAGGTCTATTAAAATGGTTAATATCAAATCAATTGTTTAAGTAGAACAACATCGATCAAAAGGATGACCAGTATAATTCAAGAACAATATTAAATTTTAACATTGTCAATTAACTCTTTTCACATAACGTAAATATTAAGTTCATATTGTAATAATAATATTTCTGAAGAGAATTTATGATTTTTTCAATTAGATTATCATCTTGGACCACTGTGCGCCATTTTTGGCTGCCTTTTAAAATAGTCGTGACAATTTTTATGACTTTTTTAAATTATGAAAATGTAACGAATATTAAAGTATTAATGTAGATCAGCCGGGTATCTATTTCGGGCGCCTCATTTTTTCATATGTATATATGAAAATGTTAAAAATAACAAATTCTTTGTAATAATTACGAACTTTTCAATAAAAAGTTTCATTCTAATTTAACATTTAACAATGGAATGGAAATAATAATTATTTAAATTAGTCACATCTTCCTGTATGAAAGGATCTAAAAGTAAGGATATGCCTTAATCCCCTAATAATTCTTTTTTCGAGAGCTAAGAAATGGCTTTGTTTTTTTCGAGAGCTAAGAAATGGCTTTGGATCAGATGACAGAATCAAATAGTTTCATTTTTTTCTTCTGTGATGCTTTATCGAACTCACTACGAGCCTGCGATTTTTTTCAATTTGTGAGATATATGCACATTCTAGGCACTTCTTCTAGTCTTCTGAAATCCTCTCTTAGCAAAAAAAAAAAAAAAACAGCAAGGAAAGTAGTAAAGTCGGACAGGGACGACTATATTATACCCTTTGATATATTCTGCATATATATACATATGTATATCGTAATAGACGTCACCTTTTTCGAAGGAACATTGACATGAAATTGAACGCGCTTAAATATGTGATCTTTATCTATATGTGAACCGACTAACATCAATCCGTACATATATTCTGAAACCTACGCTAAGTTTTATTTCATTTGGGCAGATTTAGAGTTGTTTGTGTACACGCTGTGCAAACTTTTGTGTCAATTGGACAAACATTAGGAGTTTGGTGCACCATTCACCTAAAATCTGACGAAAATGGAAGCTATATCTAAATCAGGACCGATTTTCACGAAACTAAATTTTAATTTGGTTGACTTACAGCCTGTTTTTGTAAAATTCCAAACGAACGAATTCGAGTGACTTACGACCAATCCTTTATTTATGTTTATTAAGGTTTTCTGATTCAAAACAAAAATAAATGACATATTTTTCAAAACCAAGGAGTTTGGTCGTAAGTCACTCGATTTCGTTCGTTTGGAATTTTACAAAAACGGGCTGTTAAACTGTATTAAATTAGTGTTATTTAGAGCTTCTATATTTGAAAATGTTTAATAATTATCCATGTGTGAACTCATTATTGACGTACTGTATATAACATATTAAGCTATTAATTGAAAATTAATTATTATTTAGCAATTATGCTTCAGTTGTAAAACAAGCGATAAACATGTGAGAGCTGTAAAATCCAAGCAGTAATTTATTTCACGCCTAATTTTATGGCGATTCTTAGAATACGATTACGATTACAATCAAAAGCCTCATGCGGAAACCAATTCAACTACACTAATCACCATATGATCACCCCAAGACTGTTGCCAACAACATATACATAAATGTTAAATAACCCATTAAGTACCTGCATTTGGAACACAAAAATCCCTTTTTAAGTTTAGCTGAATTATATGCCACATTTTGCGGACATATTTCTCTAGTCCACTTGATATCTGTTATGGACAGATTTGTTGTTGTATTCAAAATAATATCTGTAACTAAATATATTTGTATATACAAGGTGTCATAGACTTGTCTAGATTTAATTACTGAAACATTTTCCCTTAGCATTTAAATGTCAATAGCAAACAATGCCTACAGCAATGATAAACCGTGGACATGTTTTTTATGACACAAATAATCTAAATTTTATTCATTATACTACCTAGGTAAAGTCTCTGAACCTTAGATAGAAATCTTATCTGTATATGTACGATATCTAGGCCCTAAAAAAGAAATATAAAAATCTAAGTAGAATTTCTTTCTTTGTTCATTACAGATAAGTTGATCATCAATCACAATGAATGAAATAACCGCTCAATTGGTTTTTAATTGGTTTTATTAAATATTTGTTTCATTTCGTTTCGTTTGGATTTGACGATGACATTTATTTCCGTCTCGAAGAGGAAAAGGCAACAGTTCTGCCTAGTAACAATTTGCGAACGTAAACGTTTGTTTTCGTTGTCTTTTTTTTTTTTTTTGCACAATTAAATGAAGGTCGAAATAATTTCATTAAAAATTAAAGAAAATATTATTTATAAATTGAATAATTTTTAATAAAATCATATTGAAAAACACTAAATAATTGGAAATAAAAAAATAAGTAGACAGATAGAAATTAATAATTTATTCATATATATATATATATATATATTTATATTTATATGGGAAATTACAAAAATCTTTTAAATTCCTTGAAACTGAGGTTTGCAAGGTTATAACTCGCGAAATATGAACATATTGCATATAATTTAAATTCATTTATATAAAATGAAGTGTTCTTGTCAAAATCTTAAAATATTAGTAATAATTAATAAGTTGTGTGGAAGCTGTTATGGTGGTAATGTAAAAAATAGGTGAAAATGTGTTGAAGCCAACGAGTTTTTTTATGTTCGTTCCTGATTTGTGGCTAAACTACACAACGCACGCACATGTGGTCAGTGACTAAGTTGCAGAATAACCCATGGACAATAAGTTTCTATTGTGTGATTTTTCGATGTAATCACTGCATCCACCCAAAACGGATGCTGAAATTTTGAAGCCGGATTTTCGGTATTTTTTTGAATGTTTGTTATTGTCAGGACGCGCATCCAGATAATGGACTAAACTGATTATAAGATTGTAGAACTCGTGATTTTGCTTCGTTTGGTGTATATCTCATGAATGTGCTCACCGTAGCTTCTTTGCAATTGGGTGCGTAAATTTTTATAAAAAACCTATTTTTTGAGTCCTAATTTAAGAAGGTCCATTCAAATTCCGTGGAACCCCGCGTGATTTTAGTTTTTTTACGTGCCGGGTCTAATGAGCCCATCCATGTTCAATTCCGCCCAATAAAACGGCGGATTTAGGTACCTTGAATGTGGAAAAAGTGCAAAAACGTATTTTGACAAATTCGCGTATATAATCGCGGATTTCTTCGAATTGATTTCACATACATTCATTATTGTGTTATCATATTCGCGAATCTGTGTGAAAATAGGTCAAAAATATATCGATACGCGAATAATATGCGTATTTGATCAAAAATCGATTGTGGAGGCACATCCGCGGTTCTTAACCGATCCTTTTAAAATAGGTGCCCTTTTGTGTATTTTCATAGGAGATTACTGAAATCGGATGCGCATAAAAATCGTATGCACTTTGCACCATTTTTAGTCATTTTTAGGGTTTTTGCATAGTAAAGTGCATCGAGCGGCACACTTTGACCGCTTAATGAAATCTCGAAAAATGCATAATTATTGGAAGAAATTGATTCGGTTTATACGAAAACCGCATGCGCATCAACTGATTTCAACTAATACGCGAATTGTATGTTTTTCAATATTGATCATTTTTATGAATTGTATGTGCAATATATTTAGTCACTTTTAACGACGAAACTCTTATTAAATGAATTTATCGATATTTAACAATCATCTTAAAAAATTTGCAGACAAAAGCGTCGTATATTTTAGAAGATTAAGGCAAAACCGTATCCTCTTAACAATACTAAAAAATCGAAAATTCAAAAAAAAATTTGTTTTGATTTAAAAATTAATTTATTTTTTTCCCGATATCTTCATGCTTCTATTTGTTTTTCGCGACTATTATACCGTATTTCAATGTGATTTGACTAGTATGCAAAGAAAACAATGGTGTTTAACCATTTGTGAAGAAATTCGCGATTTACGACGAATAGGAATTCATTTAATTTATATTTGAAATACAAGATTAAAAACCGCTATAACTTTTGTGCGCAGCATCCGAATTTGTGAACGCGAACAGATTTCGAATCAGCATATTTTTCTTATCATAAATGTGCTCGCAAAAATTTTTTTCAAATTTTTTTTTAATGGAATTTTAAAAGAATTTTGTAATTTCCCATATATATATATATATATATATACGCAAAATTTATTTATATTCTATGGAAAACTAAATTGCACGGTATTTTTGCATGGTCAAAAACGTGGCATAATTGTTGAAGGTAGTCTCATTTGAGAGATTAATAATGACAGGCAAAAGGAAACGAGATAGACACATGGTTTCTTTTGAGAATGAGCATGAATCACTTTTTAAGTCGATTTATGCATGTCCGCCTATCTGTCCATGTTAAATTGTAAACAATGTAGGGGAGAGGGGGACAACTTTGAACACTTTTTTCTTTCAAGCCTCATAAAATTTTTTATTTTATACTTTTTGGTTTCTTATAAGTTTTTCATATACAGATTTTATTACTGTTTTAATGGAGGAAGTCAAAGTGTTCAAAACTGCCCCCAGGGGGCACCTTTGAACAAAGCTTGATTTTTTGAACGGCATGTTTTTTTACAGTGCTTATGTTCAAATATATATGTATTGTATTCATATATATCAGAAATACATTTATTTATTAAAAACATATACAAAAATATTCGAAAATTAAACAATTCTGATCAAAGTTTATTAAAACATAAAATGACATAAAAACAAAAATGTATATGGTGAAAAATACAACTAATTTCGTAATCTTATTAGCCCATTTGAAATTTATGAGAAATCGAAGCCAAAAGTTAAAAACTCCGTTTTTAAATGGAGTTTACTGGGTATGTTCAAAGGTGCCCCACCTGTGGTATTTTACGGAAATTTATAATAACTTTTTCTGTAGGAAATATATATGAAAGAAAGTACATTAGTTATGTTTGAAATAATTGTTTGGAATGCAAAAAAATTGTTTAACGAAAGAAAACAATCACTGAATTCTTCCTGCGCCCTTACAACCAAAAGAATAAAAGTTTACAATTGCAGTGCGAAAACATAGTCAGTCATGTGAATTTTGTCTACAACTGAAAAAGCTAGCCAAAATGATTTACGCGGATAAAGAACAAGATTGGCATATAAAAAAATTTGGTTGCGGGTCGGAAAAATTCTAAACCGAGATTTTAGGAGCACGGTTCAAAGATGCCCCACGTTCAAAGGTGCACCCCTCTCCCCTACAGGTCGATCCGAATTGGATGAAATTTGGCATAGTTCACTTAAAATCGGTTCAGATTTAGATATAGCTCTCATATATATTTTCGTCCGATTTAATGTAAATGGTGTGCCAAAGTCCCTATATATCTTTGGATTTGCGCGAAAGTCCCTATATAACATTCGAAATGTAGCCTAGCGTAATGAATTAGGTCTAGAATAATGTGTCTTAAGTTTCCTTAATATCGGTCTAGATTTAGATATTGCTCCCATATATATTTTCGTCCGATTTAATGTAAATGGTGTGCCAAAGTTCCTATATATCTTTCGATTTGCACGAAATTTGGCACGGCGGGTCCGCCATCATATAACATATGCCTGCTACTTCGTTAGCGTAGGTGGGAATAATTTAAACGTGTATTAACATGTTATTTTCACAAAATACTACACATGCCAGAAAAATAAATCAATCTGCACATTAATATCGACCATACATGAAATTTGAGTACCATTTAGTACCAAATTTCATTATTCGAGCTCTAAAGGTTCACCTAAATCCAAATTTTACCAAATTTAGTTCCATTTGACACACATTAATATATAGAAAATTCCATAAGTACCCACCTCAACCGTCCAATTGAAATCATATAACCGATTTAATTTCCATTGTTTTCCACTACTATATACTTCATATAATCCAATGAAAAGCTTATTTCCCCAATTTCTGGATTCCAGACTTATCGATGATTCAATGATTCAAATTTCAAAATTCCAGCTCTATCGGTTCACCCAAATCCAAATTTGGTAACATTTAGTACACAGTAGTACGAATTTCCAAAACTTACTACTTAACCCAAACATACACCCCCACAGTGATCCTAAATCCAAGTTTCAGGATTCTAACTCTATCGCTTCACCCACAATTTAAATTGTACTAAATTTAGTACACATTAGTACAAATTTCTAAAACTTCCTGCTCCAAATTTCATGATTCTATTCTCGATTTGTACCTCCGAATTAAATTTCTAAAACTTTCTACTTAACCCAAACCTACACTCCCACAGTGATCCTAAATCTAAGCTTCAGGATTCCAACTCTATTTCTTCATCCACAACTTAAATTGTACCAAATTTAGTACACAGTAGTACGATTTTTTAAAACCTCCTTCATACCAAAACGAAGTAAAAACCCCTACAGTGATCCTAAATCCAAGTTTCAGGATTTCAACTCTATCGGTTGACCCACAATTCAAATTGTACCAAATTTAGTACACAGTAGTACTAATTTCCAAAACTTCCTACTTCACTCAAACCAACACTCCCACAGTGATCCCAAATCCAAGTTTCAGGATTCCAACTCTATCGCTTCACCCACAATTTAAATTGTACCAAATTTAGTACACATTAGTACAAATTTCTAAAACCCACAATTCAAATTTTACCAAATTTACTATACCGTAGTAGGAATTTCTAAAACTTTCTACTTAACCCAAACCTACACTCCCACAGTGATCCTAAATCCATGTTTCAGTATTCAAACTCTATCGGTCCCCCCACAATTCAAATTGCACCAAATTTAGTACACAGTAGTAGGATTTTTTAAAACCTCCTTCATACCAAAACGAAGTAGAAACCCCTACAGTGATCCTAAATCCAAGTTTCAGGATTTCAATCCTATCGGTTGACTCACAATTGAAATTGTACCAAATTTAGTACACAGTAGTACTAATTTCCAAAACTTCCTACTTTACTCAAACCAACACTTCCACAGTGATCCTAAATCCAAGTTTCATGATTCCAACTCTATCGCTTCACCAACAATTTAAATTGTACCAAATTTAGTACACATTAGTAGAAATTTCTAAAACTTCCTGCTCCAAATTTCATGATTCTATAGGTTTACAAGCTCGATTTGTACCTCCGAATTAAATTTGTACCAAATATAGTAGCATGTAGTACTTTTAGTACACATGAATACACGCTTTCACAGCAACCTAGTTTAATAGCGGCAAATGTAGAGAAAAACGTGGTTTCACAGATTTTCAATTTGAAACGAGAATAACTTCTTTTATTTCTAATGGATTTATATTATTCTTTTTTTCTTTCGAAGAGTAGAATTTTTTTTTAAAAAAGGTATATATTTAGTAAATCGGTTGAGGATTGGCTGAGTTACAGCGGTTGAAATGTGAAAAATACGCATAAAAAGACAAAATGTATTTTTCTTCGGACTGTACGATGAAATTATGATATCAAGTCGCATAAGTTTTATCATATTACGGGGAAGAAAATAAAATAAGCTTTCGAAAATGAGAAAAATCAAATAAATCGGTTAAAAATGGATGGCAATAAGTGAAGAAACCAAAATATAGTATTTATAACAATAAAAATAACTAAAATTTTAGAGCTCATCTGTTTGTACTGTAGAGTTGCTCCAAGCTAAAATTGAGACAATTCCCTTATCCAAATTCAAAATGAATTCTTGGATTAAATCTTTAGTTTTTTAGTGAGTACCCGATTAAAAAAAACGCCACGATATCTCTATTTTTGAAAAAGTTATGCGGCATTTATTAACTTTGAAATTTTATTTGTTTTAGTTTTGGCCACCAGTGTATATATCTGTCGACATCATCGTCTCAAATAGTGAATGGAGGGTTCCACCAATCGGCACCTAATTGAATTCAGTTGATAAATTTTCAAATATATTTTTTAATTCCATTTCACTGTAATATTTTAAAAGTAGGTCATAAAGTCCATTTATGCCATACAAAAAGTAAATTTCCCTCTGTTGTTTATCAAACACCAATGATACGAACATTTTATCACACTGAACAAAAGTAAAGTAAATTTGATGATGACACTTTGAATTACTAATAACACAAATTAACCTCATCAGTCTAAGGATAGCACACACAATAGGGAACCAAAAGCAAACAACATCAAAATACTAAACAAAAATTAAGAAAAAGAATGGAAACAAAAAACAAAACAAATAAACTCAAATACAATTTAACCAAATTGACCAAATCAATTTGCAATCAATATTTTAGCGACATACCAATTAAGAACAACACCACGATGTAGGGTATCAGGAATGCACCGCCACCATTCTCATAGGCGGTAAATGGAAAACGCCAGATATTGCCCAAGCCCACAGACACTGAGATGCAGGACATAAGAAATTCTAAACCGCTGGCCCAATTTTCACGTTCTTTATTGGCGGCTGATGATGCTGCTGCTGCTGATGGTTGATGATTGGAGTTCGAATCACTTGTATCGGTCGTGTTGTTGACATTGTTGATTGAAGTTGGTTTGCTGCCCTCCTCAATGGAATTCATGTTGTTAGGCGTTTATTTATGCTATTTATTATTGTATGGGAAATATATCACAGTTTTTATTGGGAGCTCTAAGAACCCTTTAAACCTTTATTTTCTTATCTCAAACTTATATAAAGAAACACTTAATCCAAAGATAGAATTTTCAATATCTATGCAATCACTTTCAATTTTAGTTAATGGTTCCGCATCATCGTTGGTTTTTTTTTTTTTTTTGGTTTTGTTTTCTTTTTTGTCTTGTAAAAAATTTCTTATTCACGTTCACGTCATACACGCCAAACCGATTATAGACCACAACGAACCCTTTGTGTCAACCCGTAATTTTTGTTATTTCTTGAATGGTGAATGATGACCGTGAAGGTGGTTCTTCAATCGACAACGGACGATTCCTCAATGAATACTACAGAAGAGGGCATCACATTTTCACTCACTTGCATCCAAATCTGATATCACAAAGTTTTGTTGGCAGCGTTCGCTTGCTTGCTGGCGGTGATCGTAAACGTCAGCGTTGACGCCGCCAACAATTAGTGGTAAAGACAGATCACGTCGCGTAGTGTTGTTCTTGTTGTAAAATACACAAGAGGAAAATAGTGTATAATAGTAGTCTAGTTGAAGGTATACTAAGTAGATCGGAAAACTTGGATCTACAGATGACATTTTTACAAATCGGTAGTCTGCAACTAAACGATCCTGTTTTAAGACCCTTAGTATCTGCCGAATATATTCGATATTTAATACTGTTGTTTCTAATCTTAATAGTGAGTGACTGACTGACTGACAGTTCATCGTCCAGACGAAACAGCTGAAGCTAGACGCTTGTGGGTTGTTGTTGGTGTATAGGCGTGAGATAAGCCTGGGTTTTTTCGAGATTCGAACTTGAAGGGTAAGAAGGGCACCCTTTGTATTAGGCAAAGGGGAAGAGCCAGAATTCTGAAATTCGTACGAAACTGTACTAAATTTAGTTTTAATTGTATATAAATTGAACATACATATATAACTAGAATCTTGAAATTTTATATGGAATACCGGTTGGGAAGTGGTGTTGATGTCTGGAAATGACTTTAGAAGTTCGTATTTATATGTACGAAAATAACTAAACGGTACTAAATTTGGTACAAGTTGGATTTAAGTGAACAGATAGAGCTGAAGTCTTGAAATTAGAAATTAAAATGGTCGTTGGTGTGTATGATTGAGGTAGTTTAGGAAATTCGTACTTATGGGTACGAAAAATATTAAATGGTACTAAGTTTAGTACAGTTCGGATTTTGGGTGAACGTATAGAGCTGAAAATCTGAATTTTGGAATTAAAATTACTATTGATGAATGAGTGTATGGAAAGTACTAATCGGCACTAGATTTAGTAAAATTTGATTAACGGATAGAGCTGGACTCCATAATTTTAGAATTAAAATTACTGTTAGTGTACAGGATTGTACTAAATGTTACTAAATATGGTACAATTTGGATGTATTTGAACGGGCAGGGCTGGGATCCTGAAATTTCTGATTAAAATTAAAAAAATCGTATTTACGTCTACGAAAAGAAACAAATAGTACTAAATTTGGTACAATTTGGATGCTGGTGAACGGAGAGTCCTTAAATTTGGATTATTATTGGAGTGCATGACTGAGGTAATTTTGGAAATTCGTACCTATGGATAGAAGAAGTACTAAAATTGGTAAAATTTGGACTTTGGTGAGCCGGTAGAACGGGAATTCCAAAAGCTGCATGTAATATTCTGTCGGAATGTTGAATTGAACAGATAGAGCTGGAATTCTTCTATTTGGACTTCCGATGGTGGATTTAAGATTACTTTTAGATTGTAGGATTGATGTAGTTTTAGACATTCTTACTTATCAGTACGAAACGTACTAAATTGCACTAAATTTGATGCAATTTGGATTTCGTTTAATAGATAGGGCTGGAATCCTGATATTTGGAATTAAGTTTACTGTTGAAAATTCGAATTTATGTGTACGAACAGTACTAAATACAGTAAATATGGAACAATTTGGATAATGGAGAGAGCTTGAAATCTAAAAAATAGAATTATGATAAATGTGGGCATGTAGAACTGAGATATGAGGGTAGTTTTTAAAATTTATACTTATGTAAAGTAAATTTGGTACAATTTGATTTTATGCGAACGACTTTTATGACCTTTGGAATAAAAATTACTGTTGGATTGGGGTAGTTTAGGAAATTCGTACATATGGTTACTATGTGAACTAAAATTAATACAATTTGGATTTTGGGTGAACGGCCAGAGTTGAGATACTGATTGATGTTTGAGCGTAGAATTGAGACATGGAGGTAGCCTTGAAAATATGTACTTATGTGTCCGAAGAGTGCTGAATGGAACTAATTGTAGAACCTGATCACTTTTGAATCTGTATAAAGGACATAAGAAAGATATTTCGGAAATTAGTGCTTATGTGTATGAATGTGGGCATAGAGATGTAATTCGAAATTATAGTACAACAAATTATACAGTATTCATGATTTCCATATAATATTATTTATTTGTGTTGTATTCACTTTCCGCATACGAAGTAGCGGGCACTTCGCTAGTATTTAATAATTAAAGTATAAATAATAATGTTTGGGTACTTAGAGGGTTAAGGAAGGATTTTTAGAAGTTTCTAGAAGTACCACATGCCGGAAAATTTGATTTAATAAAATTTTCTTCTGGTGTTGCTATGAACCTACCGATGCCCTTTTTATACCCTACACCATAAGGTGGAATTCATATCAAAATTGTCTTTCCTTGATATATTCGTCGGAGACTCTATAAAAAATATATATTCTTGTTCGGAATTAGTCGATTTAGCCATGTCCGTCTGTTGAAATCATAAGGCTCGCAATATTTAAGATAGAGATTGCGCATACATTGCTACAACTTCTAAGATGTTTGGCATTGAAAATAGGATATATTGGTCCACGTTTTTGTATAGAGCCCCCACAAACGGTACATCTCAATATTCGGTATTTTAGACGCGTTTTTCAATTGCCATATATTTTGTATTTTTGGTTCTCATTAGATTGAGAATCTTCCTACCAATTATCAGTTCAATGTTGATAATTGGTAGGAAGATTTGATTTGGGATAGCCCTTATTTAACGGTACCCCGAAATTTTGGATATCTGTGGAGATTGAGCGAATTTTTCAACCGAATTGACTGTAATCTGATATTTTGTGTCCTCGTTATGTAAAAAATCTCTCTTCCAAAAATCATCATTTTTGGTACGGGGTAGCTCCCATATTACGGCACCCCCAAATTTGGGAACTTTGGTTACGGGTTTCTAATTAAAAAACACATATCCGTATTATTAATATTGACCCAATTTTCAATTTAGCCACCATATAACGGTACCCCCCAATAATCGGTATTTTGTGGATTTTATACAGATTTTCCAATCAAACTGGCTGTTATTTGGTATTCTGGGATCTCATTGAATAATATATATCCGTACCAAAAATTATAATTATTGACCCAAGTTACAGCTTAGTCCCCACATAAAGGTTCCTCCCAAATTTCGATATTATGGGTAGTTTGGACCCATACCCTCAATGAAAAACTCAAATTCATTTAAATACCCTTCGTCATAACGTTGCTTTACTGTTTTTATTATTTACCCACTTTCTTAGCCAATTTACCGCTAAACGATCGCAGACATCTCTCTTTTGGAATGTTTTAAAAACATTTTGGACAAAATTAATTTATGATTATGACGATTACCTCCGTTCAGACAGAGTCGACAGATAAGAAAAATGCTGAAACAAAAATAACAATTATTTTTGCGGGCGCAGTAAACTGGAGGAGATGGCTAATAATAATCAAAAAGTTATATTCAGCGATCACGTTTACGCTTATCGCACTCAAAATCAAGTATGATCAATAGAATAAAGTTCGCGTTGGATATTTGTACATTCAAGGGTTATAAAATATGGCGTGCGCAGTGCTTTATGATTTATGGCGCTAGCAGGTGGTAACTGTATAACTCGGGGGTTTCTTTAATAGATAGGCCACCTATAAGTAACAAATAAAGGTATTTTTTAAAGGAACCTCTGTATCAAAAAAAATTAAATATCTACCTATCTTTGAGTATATATAGGTCCAGGAGCTCTAATAGGTATATCAATGACACCAAATTAATTTTCAATCAATGTGACTATATTTCCGTGTTCTTGGTGGGCACGGATTTTTTATTTAAATATTTTTCAATACTTCGTTAGCTTAGAATTTATATTAAGTTTTTTCAAGTAAATTTTTGGTATGGATTTTTCAAAAAATATTTTTTAATATTCGATATGCGGGGAATTTTTACAAATATTTCTAAGGCGAATTTTAAGCGTTGCTGTTTTATCAATCTTTTCATGTCCAATTTTTGGCGTGGCATTTTTACAAATACAGGGTATTATGTTTTTGGTCATATGTTTGTAACAGGCAAAAGGAAACGAGATAGACACATGGTTCCTTTTGAAAATATGCATAGAATCACTTTCTAAGCCGATTTATGCATGTCCGTCCGTCTGTTGATGTTAAATTGTAAACAAAGTACAGGTCGCATTTATCATCCGATTTGGATGAAATTTGGCAAAGCTCATTTATTTGGCCCAGGGGCGAACCCCATTGAGATTGGGGAAAATCGGTTCAGATTTAGATATACCTCCACATATATAATTTCGTCCGATTTAAGGTAAATGGTAAACCAAAGTCCACGTATATCTTTCGATTTGCACGAAATTTGGCATAGCGTACTGAATTAGACCTCGAATGACGTACTTTAAGTTTCGTGAAAATCGGTTCAGATTTAGATATAGCTCCCATATATTTTCGTCCGATTTAAAGTAAATGGTGCGTCAAAGCCCCTAAATATAATTCTATTTGCACGAAATTTGTCATATCGTACTAAATTAAGTCTAGAATGATGTGTACTAAGTTTCGTGGAAATTGGTTCAGATTTAGATGTAGCTCCCAAATATATTTTCGTCCGATATAATGTAAATGGTGCACCAAAGTCCCTAAATATCTTTCGATATGCATAAAATTTGGCACAGCGTATTGAATTGAGGTATAATGATTTGTGCTAAGTTTCGTGAAAATTTGTTAAGATTCAGATATAGCCATATACATTCTCGTCCGATTTAAGGTAAATGGTGCGTCAAAGCCGCTAAATATCTTTCGATGTGCACGAAATTTGGTGTGCTAAGTTTCGTGAAAATCGGTTCAGATTTAGATAGAGCTCCCATATAGATTTTCGTCCGATTTAAGGTAAATGGTGCGCCAAAGTCCCTAATTATCTTTCGATATGCACGTAATTTAGCATAGCGTACTGAATTGAGTCTATAATGATGGGTGCTAAGTTTCGTGAAATTGATTGCCCTTGAAAGAGATTATAAAAAAATATACACTCTATAGTTCATGGCCCAATGAATAGGTAGTCCATTTAGCGTAGGTGATATCTTGATTAACTGTCAAAGTGGGTAATTTCTACTTGAATTCGACGTGCAGTGTTGCCAACCATGCGAAATATTATTAGGAACCATTTGACATATGGTCGAGACAAAAACAAAGGTTTTTGTTTTGATACATCACCTTATTATTGTATCATGCTATAGCTCTAAAAAATAGTATTTATAATAGTACGTTTACATTGTGCCGGATTTCGTTAACACAGAGGGTTTAAATTGTCAATTCCATTGTATATATGTCAAATAAATAGGTTAACCTGATAAAAAATTCTAATCTAAATGCCGTCTAATATTCCGAGAATCTTTCAGATAAAATAATTAACATTTTATTTATATAAATTCAAAAATATTTTAAACTTATTTCTAGTTAAATATATACACACACTAATACTTAGTTAATAATACTCAATATAACAAATTCAAAAATGTTCATTCAAAATGTTCAATTGGGCGAACTTGTTAGATTATATACTTTTTGTTTAAAGAAACCCAATTTACTGCTCGTCTGTTTCTTTCGTCGCTCTTCGGCAAGTGCTTCCTTATAGGCCCACCATTTGGCACGTACTTCAGGATTTTTAGGTCCCCATGCGTCGGAACATTTCAATGATGTTTTGAAAGTCTAAAAAAAAACAATAATTAAAAATTAATTAATTATTTTGAAAATTTTGCAAGAAATTCTCCATTACTTACATTACAAAATGCATCCTTGTAATGGGTCTTGATATACCACCATCCCCAAAGGGGGAATTGTATGACACCAATTACAAATATTGCCCAACCGGCAGCTATAAAGAACATGTTTTATTATTGACTATGTCGTATTTATGTATGTATGCATGTCATTGATAGTTACCATTGGCAGACGTGGGATATTCTATTTTCTTATAGGTCAGTGGCTCAATGGTTACCATGGAATAGATAAATATGATCAACATCATAACCGGTGTCAAGAAAGACCAACATAAACGCCAATAGATTGAAACTTTTCGATGGGTCATGAATTCAACATCGTCACAGAAGTTTTGTAGGCCTGTGAGGAATTTAAATATGTGAATATTAAAATAATATAAAAAATCCCCCAGTATTAAAACTCACCATAAATCCAAATAATACCAACAATCTCCAAAATTGCCAAGGCAAATATGACATAAGTTCCGCCAAAGAAATCAACTAAATTCAAAATCCATTGGCCTCCCTATAAAATAATGTATTCAAAATCGTTATCAAAATTAAAAATTCTGCACCTCTACTTACCGGTGTCACATAAACCAAACCCAATATAAATCCACATATCGATGTAATCAGGGCGACAGCCCAATATTTAAATGATTTAAATTGATCGCATATTATGGTCACAATTGTACTCTGTAGGGCCACAATTGACCCGACGCCCAATACGAAAAGCATAAAAAAGAATAGAACAGCAAATAGCTGGGGTACCGCCTGAAATTTAGCAATAGCATCCGGATAGGATATAAACGCTAAAGCTGTGCCACTTTGTACCACTTCTTTAATATCGGAAATATTTAGATTATGTGCTAAATTGCCTAGGATGCCGAATATGGTAATACCAGCCAGTAGGCTGGTCACTGTATCCAAGCTGGTTACAATCATGGCATCTCTGAAATGGGAACAAAATAAATTATAATATCGGCAGAGGTTATAGAGAACAAATTTACACTCACCTATATATTGGATGATCGAAACGATTATAGGATGAAAACATTATAATCGGTCCAACACCAACTGCCAGGGAAAAGAAACATTGGACTACAGCTTCCTTCCAAACCTGAAATAAAAAACCAGGGATTTTTATGTTGGAAAAATAAACTTTCTCTATTGAGATGTCAAAGAAGAAAAGATAGACCTTCCTCGATAAACCTTTGGTTTCACCAGAAAACCAAAAAAATCATTGTTTATGAATTTCGAAGGCATTCCGAAAATACATTTTTAATCTCAAGCTAATAGCTTGGAAAGTTTTCCTAATAATCATACGAAAAATACACGACTATGTCGATGATAGTCTTTGAAATGATATTCTTTAAAATCCAATATTAACGACTCCAATAGCCCCTGAAAATATATTTTTATAAAATCAACGCCTAAGACCACAATTATGGCTCTGAAGGGCTTCAGAAAATTATTAAAAATAAATTGCAAAATTTAGCATAGTCTGTTTTTGATAGTCTTTCAAAAACATTTTGAAACAAATACAAACGATGTTTTATACCCTCCACCATGAGAACGGCAATCAAAATATCTAAAATTAATGAAGGCCTCCTAGTAGAAAACTCATTTCATGACAGGGCATTGCACATCCCGAAAAAATACGTTCGAAAAATATGATTGAAATTCTCAAAATATGTAAAAGTGGGGCTATAATATATGGGGCTATAATAAAAAGGATATCATTATTTATATTTTATGGTGGATATGGTGGCTACCCTGATTCTTGGGTCATGTGTGTTATCCAATGAGGACCCAAAATACCAAATTACAGCCAATTCGGTTGCAAAACGTGTCCGAAATCCCCAAAATACCTAATATTAGGGGGTACCGTTATATGGTGGCTACCCTGAAACTTAGGACAATATTAATAATTTCTGTTACGGAGATGTGCTATACCATGAGAACCCAAATACCAAATAACAGCTGAAAGACGTGTCTGGAATCTCCAAAATACCGGATATTAAGGGGTACCGTTATATGGGCTACTCTGAAACTTGGGTCAATATTAATAAATTTTGGTACGGATATGTATTACTCGATTAGAACCCAAAATACCGAAAAACAGCCAGTTCGGTTGAAAAAACGTGATCAAAATCTCCAAAATATCAAATATTGGGAGGTACCGTTATATGGGGGTTACAGCAAAACGTGGACCGATATATGACATTTGCAATACCAAACATCGTAGGAGTATCAGCAATGTCTCTGCAAATTTTCAGAACACTATCTTAAATACTGCGATCTCTGATTTCAACAGACGGACACAGCCTTTCAAATTCTTTCTTTAAAAAATCCACGCTTATTGTTCTGACAGTCTTTCAAATATTTTCTTTAAAAAATCCACGCTTATTGTTCTGACAGTCTTTCAAATATTTTCTTTAAAAAATCCACGCTTAGCATTCTGACAGTCTTTCAAATATTTTTTTAAATAATCCACGCTTATTGTTCTGACAGTCTTTCAAATATTTTTTTAAATAATCCACGTCTAGGGTTCTGATGGTGCCTCAAATATATTATTTAAAACATCCACACTAGGGTTCTTACAGTCAATTATATTCCACGGTCAGTCCTTCCGATAACATTATTTTAAAAATCCAAACTTTTATCTCCGAAAGTCTTTTCAAAATTTGTCTTAATAGAAAATCCAAGCGAATACATCTGATAATTCTCAAAAATATCCACTTTCACTTTTTTATATATTCATTGACCCTACAATCTCCGTTACCTTTAAATTCAACAGCTGCTCCCAATCCGGTTCCAAAAAGAACATAATACCATCGACAGCACCCTCCAATGTAACGGCACGAGCTAGCAATGCCACCAGTACGACATATGGAAATAGCGCCAAAAAGTATGCCGCCTTACCGGAACTTTTAACACCTTTGCGTATAACGAGGAATATAACAATCCAGGAAACAAATAGTGTCGCCGTCAAATATAAATCTGGCCAACCAATACCATCGGCAATTTGACTTTTTTCTTTGGTTACTATTTCACTGTGGAAAGAAAAAAATAAATATTGAAAAAATCGACAAAGTTTTAACTTTTCAAAACATACGTAAAATATAACTCGGAACTACTGGTCAATTTATAGGATGAGTTGTTTGGTATTATGCTATCCTCTTTGGGCATAGAATCTACACAATTTTCCCAACCTTCCCGGCAATAGGTCCATGGTAGAACGGCTTGACACGATACGACCATATAGTATAAAGTCAATGCGATCAATGATGAATAATATGTAACGATACATATTGTTCCGAAAGCTTGACCATAACCAACTCCTACAAAGTAAATAAAAGAGGAAGTGATTTTAATTATCTGGAGATGTGCTAAATGTTTAACGCCTTAAAGTATGCTTTGCTTTTTTCTTCATACAACAATTCAATTTACGCCAATTCTATTTCAAACTTTCGACGAATAAAAAATAGTAATGATAGATAAAATCTACGTTTTTGCTTCTTATATTTACATACATATTATTTTTTAATTTTTATTTCTCTATCTGTGTTTGTATTCTTACCCAAAAATGATGGGCATATGGACCAAATTTTCACAGAACCTTTACTAGTAAATTGTCCCATAATCATTTCCAAATAGTACATCGGTTTGCCTTTGAAATAAAAGAATAGAAAGTTTAAATCGCAATTAATTTCAAATTAACTTGTTTCATAAAATCGATTCTTCTTACCAATCAAAAACAATACCACCAAATATGGAATTAAAAATGCTCCACCTCCATTTTCATATGCTGTAAATGGGAAACGCCAAATATTACCCAAACCCACAGACATTGATATGCAGGACATTAGAAATTCAACACCATTTGACCAGTTCGGCCGTTCGTCTTCATCGCTGACGGTATTTTCAGTCTTTCCATTTTTACTGTCAATATTGTTGTTGTTTGAGAGCTGCAAGGATATGGAAGTAGTAAATTTTATTAGAAAAGAAAAGGGCATATCAATATCTGGTTGAAAAAAATCCGGTACTTTGACAGTTAATCGAGTCATCAGCTGCGCTAAATGGACTATCTATTTATTGTGACATGGTCCCGGTCATCTGTCAAATTTGTTCTAATAATATTTCACATGGTTGGCAACGCTACTCATCGAATTCAAGAAGAAATTACCCACTTTGACAGTAAATCGAGACATCAACTGCGTTAAATGACCTACCTATTTATTGTGCCATGACCGGTATCATGATGCAATAATAAAGTCATGTATAAAAGCAAAAACCTTTGTTTTTGTCCCGACCATCTGTCACATTTTTTTTCTAGTAATATTTCACATGGTTGGCAACACTGCATTTCGAATTTAAGTAGAAACTACACACTTTGGCAGTTAATCGAATCGTCAGCTGCGCAAAATGGACTACCTACATGTAAGAAGCGAATATTATCGGCAATTTTGGTAGAAAATCACGTTTAAGTAAAAATTGAAAGCTATTTACAGCTGGGATAAAATCATCTGGCCTTATCGGACGACCTTATTATTTTGTCATGGTACCGATTTTTTTCCGAGTAATATTTCACGTGGTTGGCAACATTGTACATCGAATTCATATTAATTCATGAAACTACACACTTTGACAGTTAATCGAATCGACAGCTACGCTAAATGGACTACCTATTTATTGTGTCATGGGAAATCTCCACCCACTTATTCGGAGACCGTCGTTCTACTTCTCGGGATACTCCCTCGACTAAGACGAAAACCCCAATTTTATCCATTAAATTGAGGTGATACTTTCTCAGGTCACTTTAAATGGGAACTGATCTGAGTCCTGAAATGTAGTTATTAACGGCCCAAAATGTTGCCTCAATGATCTTAGAATCATAAGCACACAGTCATTTTGTCCGAAACTCGCTGCAGAAACGCCGCTTCCTTCTTATTTGATTCGCAACTACAGACTTCAGGCTTGGCAAATCTACCATTGACCAGATTTTCACTCTTCGCCAGATCCTGGAAAAACGCACGAAAAACACATCGACACAATCCACCTATTCGTTGACTATAAAGCCGCATTCGACAGCCCTATCCGTTCAGAGGCGTTTAAAGCCATGTCTGCGTTCGGCATTCCTGCAAAATTAATACAGCTATGCAGGATAACTTTAACAGGTGCAATGTCAGCAGTTAAAGTAGGAATGGACCTCTCGGAGCCCTTCAATACCGAACGAGGACTCAAACAAGGTGACACTTTGTCGTGTGACCTGTTCAACATCCTGCTGGAGAAGGTCATACGAGATGCAAATGTGAACAGAAATGACACTCTGTACACCAAACAGCACACCGACGACATCAACATACTGGATCGAACATTGCGTGCGGTAACAGCCACCATTGAAAGAATTTAAAAGGAGTCTGCCAAAATGGTACTGGCAGTATATGGAGAAAAGACCAAACTGATGGTATCAAAGCGCAAAACGCTCGGTAGACTCGGACTAACTGTGAAACTTGAAAACTACAGCTTCGAAGTAGTGAACGATTTCGACCTGCAGCGACTACGTTGGCTAGGCCATCTTGTGAGAATGGATGAAGATGCCCCAGCTCAAAAGGCTTATAAAAGTGAGCCAAGTGGTGATTCACGCAGAAGGGGAAGGCCACGAATCCAATGGAAGGATCAAGTAGAGGACAACATAGCGGAAAATGGTCTTTCAAATTGGATGAGCTCGCGTGCGGCATCAACGTTCTGTGGTGCACCAATGGAAAAGGAATAAGCATCACTGAAAGAGACAGTATTGTCAAGGTCTTGACTGATTGAATAACATACACACAAAACGGTTCCGTCCTATTTTTTGTATTTTGAAGCTTTTAGTCCGGAAGGTGAAAAATTATATTTTCAGAAATTTTTCAATGGACACCCATGTTTTAACAGCTTCGGTGCATAGTTAATGCCCTGAAGAAAGTGTTTGTTTTGACTCTCTAAAATTGTTCTGAAATGTTTGCTGATTTTCGGCGTAAGGAAAGAATTCTCTAGTAAAAATGGAAAACAGGGTGATGCCACGGTTAATTAATATGAGTGGAGAGCGACCATCGGCTGTTATGGCGGTCCCCGCCATCACCATGGCCGGCGCTTGAATTCTGGTGGCCAACCGAAGGTTCACATTTTCAGCTAACCTCTTTGGCAAGTAAACACGATCATGTTCCAGCCACTGCGACGCGGGTTTCGATCAAATCGCTTCTTTACTTTTTGAACCATTTCTGCTGATGTTGCTGTTTTCTTTCACTTTCTTGAAGTCGGGCTACGCTGCCAGTATCACTGTAATGAAGGATGGTACGAGACACAAAAGATTTATTCACATTTAAGGGGACCTCTCCCATTCTCGATTTTAAATTTTCAAGATTTTCATTGGGCTGGTAAATGAACACCAATGCATGTTAAGGTTTGTAACTTTACACATATATAATTTGGTTGTTGCTGTTATGTTGTTGTTTTTAGTGACTAAAGAAAAGTCCTTATTTTTGATGGCGGGCATGATAACTCCTTTTTGGAACATCGGAATCCGGATTATTGACTTGGATCAAAAATTAAAAAAAATTTTGGACCTTCGAAAAAATTTTTTTTTTAAATTCGCCTATTTTTGACCACAAACTAAGTTAAAAAAATAAGGAAGTTCTTCGCCTTGTTCATACGAGAGCTACACACTCCCAGAGAAACGTGTAAAAATTTGGAACCGATTGGATTATTAGTTTTTAAGTTATCGTGTCCGCCATTCATTAAAACACTGCTTCGAGAAAAATGCGTTTAAAGTTTGAGAATGACTCTTGCTGACACAATAAATCGGCTATACCTTCAAGAGTTTTTGAGATTTTCACTTGAAATTCTGTAGGAACATTCTTGAATTAGTGTAGTTTTGAAAAGCTAAATTACATTTTTGACACCGAGAATGGGGGGGGGGGGGGGGGGGGGGGTTAGTCCCCTGGATTGCTCTAACAACAGCCACTTGTGGTTTTCCAGCCAAATATAAAGAAATCAGACTATCACGCTTGAATTCCATCACGAATAACTTTTTTGTGGAAAATTCTCACCAAAATGCTATGCTACATGGAACAATTTAACAGCTGTCGGACGAGTGTCTTAGAAATGACAGCAATCTGAAGATGGTTGCAGTTTTTTCATCTCACCCTGTATATTGCTAAGTCCCAATTTATATTAGGCGAGTTTACTTGCGGCAACTCTTTGTCTGTAGGAGAGAGGGGCAAAGGGAATAGAAATGGAAAAAAATTGCTTGTATCGACAATTTTCTGGCAATTCGTTTTGTGTATTTCGTATTTGTTGACATTTTATATTTATTTAAATGTGAAAAAACTATTGACATCAAATGAAAAAAGAAATATTTTCGAAACCGAATTGCCTTGTATAGACGCATGGAGCAAGTTCAAAAGGGAACGATAATAATTGCCGCAAGTAAACTTGCCTAATATAAATCAGGACTAAATATTATAGAGTCAATAAGTAATAATGGCTGTGTGTTATACTCTCTTTCAATATTCCTTACATATTGCCACAGGGAATTTAGCTTTTTAGCCTCATTCTTAATGCTCTGCAAACCAGTTTGTGACCTTGTATTAAATTCTGTCACATTCTGTAAAACATATTAACATAATTATGTGTGTAAGAAAGTATTATTTGTGTAAAGTATTATTTTTGTATTATTATTTTTTAATGAATAATTAATTTGTTATTTTTACATGTCACAAGTACTTGTAAAAATAATTTTATTGCTTTTTTCTTTGGTTCTTTTTTTTAATTATTGACATTTATGATAAGTCATTTTGGGTCGGCATACATTTGTAAATATTGATTTTGCATTTTATATTGGTTGGAGTCCAAAAATAAATGTAAACACCATTAAACGAGTCATTAGGTCTGGGTTTATACGCCGCCTCCGTCCTCTTTCTGCGACAAAGTGAAGAAAGGCGGTTAACATGAGATGATATAAAATGCTTTCGGAAGAATGAAATCATTTTTTTGTTATTGTATGGAACTTTGAAATTTCTGGTGTCATGGAACATTTGCATTTTTTATTTTTTGCAAGTAAGTAAATCGTTTATGGCTTGTAAAAAATCCCCAACAACAATAAAGATTTAACAAACTTAAAGTTGTGAAATGAAATGCACGTTTCATTGTTGTACTCTTTATGGGAATTGGTTACATTTGGGGGATTTTTGTTAAAGCAAGAAACCACCTCATAAATATTTCTATTAACAAATCACTTAGTTTTTATTCTTCTAAGAATGAATTTTTATGTTAATGGTTATATACATTTTCAAAAGAAATCTAGTTAATATTTCACAAAAATCCCATATCTCAAAACTTTTAGATTAAACATGTTTGGAAATTGATATAATGACTGTGTTCACATTAAACATATTTTAATAAAAGTGTATTTTACATCGTAAGTATCTTCTAAAGACACTTTAAGTACGACAAGTACGGTCGGGCTGAACTTCCGATACCCCCCACCATAGGCATATATGTAATAAAGCTTCCAACGCCACGTGGAACTCTACTACAGAGAATAAAAATACGTGTCACACACGGCGTGGTATTTCTAGATTCCTTACCCTTTTTTCTTTCTTTTAATAATATTACACAAAAGACCTACCCACTCAACATCCAGACTGTCCATGACATACGTTTAGATTTACGAAACCCACTTGATCTCAAATGTCAATTCCATAGCGTATACGTCAATTATAATTCACTGGATTTGGGAACAGAATTAAGGTGACGTATACGATAGTAAATTGAAATCGAGTGTGTTTAGTAGTATAATCGTAAAGTGTGGATAAAACGAACATAAGCAAAAAACGGGCCCTATATTTATATATATTACAAAAAAAGTGGACCAATACCATCAATATTTTCCAATGACATGTTGATGGCAAATTTCATAGGGTATTGACATTTATTGAAATTTTCCCATCCCACGAGTGACTATGTTATACTGTCGCCACTTCTAATGTAATGAATAATAAGGGATATACCAAAAAGTAGACCTATACACATGATTTTTCTAAAGGAAAGTGAATGTTGTAAACCAGGTGTCTAAAATGATTGTTGTAAACATCTGTTTTGTTAGTGAAGATCTTCAGTTTTTTTAGGCCGGTTATTTCACGAAAGGTGTTTTTTTCCTAAGAATTGGGTTAGGAAGCTTGAGAAAGCTGGGCAGTGACGCAGAAAAATTCGCTGTCCTATTTACATAATCTACACCGGTTTTTCCCTTGCATCCAATCTTTTGAAAGTGGACCGCTGTTATGTCCTGTGAGAATACCGGCCAGTCTGCAGATTTCCCTTTTGTTTAGTGTTAAGATTTGCTTTGTTTCCTTTGTCTTTGTTTGGGTCTACCCATAAAATGTTTGTCTTCATCCCAGCCGATCGCTATTCCAAATAATTTTGTGGGTTTCCATTGCCCATGACCTTAGTTCTACATGGGCATTATTTATCTATTTAGGTCTGTTAGTCGCACTTCTGGCGAGTATATTTGTCACATGGTTTCCTATTATTCCTATGTGACTCGGTACCCATATAATTCGTAGGAGACCATGCAACTGGAAATTATTTATGGTTTTTCTACATTGTAATACAGTTTTGGATTTAACTGTTTTAGAGGTTATAGTATTTATACTCTTCACCATACTGTGGTGTAGTGTGTTATGTTTTTGTGCATATGTTTGTAACAGCCAAAAGGAATCGATACCTTTTGAGAATGTGCATAGAATCACTTTCTGAGACAAAGTACAGCTAGCATTTATGATCCGATTTTCATGAAATTTGGCACAGGTCACTTATTTAGCCCAAGGACGAACCCTATTGGAAAATTGGAGAAAATCGGATTAGATTTAGATATAACTCCCATATACAGTTTCGTCTTATTTTATGTAAATGGTACACCAAACTTCCAATATTGGTCCGATTGAAACAAAATTTAGCACAGAGTACTAAATGAGGTCCATATAGATATATAACTCCCATATATAAATTCGTCCGATTTTATGTAAATGGAGTACCATACTGTCAATATTCGTCCGATTGAGACAAAATTTTGCACAGGGTACTGACTTAGGTCCAGATTGACGTATGCGAAGTTTTGTTGAAATCGGTTCAGATTTAGATATAGCTTCCATATATATTTTCATCCGATTTCATCTAAATGTTGTATCAAATAACTAAAGTTTGTCCGATTAGGACAAATAAGTGCACAACGTACCAAATGGAACCTAAATTAACGTGTATTGGGTTTTGCGTCGAGCTACAATTTGGATAGCGCACTGTGCTGCAGCATACATATTTTGCTCCATACATATTTTGCTCG